ATGAGTATACTAGTTGGATTTACATTGTTGCAATGGGGCTGAAGTGAGTTCCTGCATGTGGAGTGTTTAGCACGGTACCTGGCAAGCAGTCAGTGCTCAAATAATGCCTTCTTACTCACAGGCCTGGTACCTGTCCCCAAAGCATGGCTTCTTTCCTGTATCTTTGTTCCTTGATCTGTAAGTAATACCTCCCTCTTCTCCTGACCTGGAGGAAAAGAAACAGCCTGGGTTATCTGTAGCCTGGAGGCTGAGAGTAAAAGTAAAGCAAAGGCAGGCACTATGGCATCTTGTCCCATTCTCTCACCTCTAATTCCAAACAGCTGCTAAAGATTTGGATGGGTCCATTTTGGGAGGCCTTCACGCAAAAGCACTCGAAAGCTCTTCACTCCTTGCATCCACAGATGTCCAACTAGATGCTAGGACATCAGCCTAACCATGCCCAGGCAGCAGGCAGAGCAGAGCTGAGATGTCCACACTCCAGGGCCTTGTTCCCACGACCAAGTGAAGGGCTGTTGGAGAATGTGGCTGTAGGCTCTGCCCTGGGTCAGGGTTTATTCTGGAGCCAAAATCCACACCTGGAACAGGCCTAGGACTGGCTTAGCTTCCATGGGGCATGTATTAGAAAACTTGGAGCTGGTATATCAAGAATGTGCAGATTATAATCTACTGAATGAGGAGGCACCAGCCACGCACATGGGGTCAGCAGGTAGCTCCACTGGCAGCTGAGATCCCACTTTGCAAAAGTGAAAATTCTGGGCCCCTTTGATTGAAGGGACAGTTTCAATACACTCACACAAAGGAAGTAAAGTCACAAGATTTATTACTTAGAGATTTCAGAACCAGCACATTGAGCTGGGGGAAGGGAAATCCTTTGTCTCAGGTCACTAGTGAGCTGGAGATAGACAGCAGGAAAGCAAGTACCTATTACTTATGAGGTGATTGAGGCTGAGGTCACTTAATTTTTCATGGGCTCAACTCTGAATGGCCTTTTTTTTTAGCTTTTTAAATTTTATTATTATTATTATTATTATTTTATTTTGGTATGGTTAATGTACAATTACTTGAACAACATTATGGTTACTAGACTCCCCCTATTATCAAGTCCCCCCCACATACCCCATTGCAGTCACTCTCCATCAGTATAGTAAGATGCTATAGAATCATTACTTGTCTTCTCTGTATATACTGTGAGTGGCCATTTTTAAAAGTGCCCGGAGAAAAGCAAAGTAGACATCTGTGGTGGAAGTCCTAAACTAGTCCTTCTAAATGTTCAGACTCTGTGTGAGCAGGCTTGTAAATACTGTAAAATACCTAGGCAGCAACTCAGAATGGCTGTTTCCTGATCACAGGGTGCTGCTGTGCAGGCAGCTCCTGCCAACCACTACTCCCTGTCCTGAGGCCCCAGTGTGCCGTGTCCGCAGGCATCTCCACAGGGCTCCCCCGGGGGAGGCTGCCTCCTTCAGCACCTTCTAAATTTAGAGCTTGAGCTCTGTGACTCATTCCTAAATCTGCTTTGCTCCCCTCCTCCAGGAGTGTGCTCCCATGGTATTTTTATCCTCTGCTGCCTCAGACTGATTAATAAGGCCCTAGAATCCTGCAGCAGCCACCACACCATAAAGAGCTCCCCAGTCCGCCACCCCATCTCATCTCTGTGCTTCTCTCTCACCAGCTCCTATACTCTGCCTCCCCTTAACTCTCTCCACACCCACTTCCATGCTGCCACACCCTGGCCAGAGCCCATCCAGTTGGTCACACTGGGGACTGGCTCCAAGGAGGACCAAGGTGGCAGTGCAAAGGAGAGATGGACCCACGCCCTGCTCCCTCCAAACTGGTTGCCAGGCAGAGCCCTGATCTAGTGTCTGAAGACCTGAACTCTGGCCCAGACTCACTCCCGCCTTGGTTGGGCTCTTGGTGAGTTCTTGGCCCCTCTGGACTTCTCTTTCCTCCTCTATAAACAAGGATTTGAACCAGACCTCCATTGCAGAAGCCTGGACCAGAGCTGAAATTACCACTGGGTGAGACCTCCACCTTCAAACAGGGTGGACTGGGGTCAGGTATCTGATGTCAGGTCCTGTCTCCCACCCAGGCTTCTCCCTGCCTTCTAGGCTTTTGCTCAAGCCCCTGTTGTCAGCCTTTTTGGACATCTACCCTACAGAGAGGAAGGGTTATTCATGACCCCACACCCTGTAGGGGCTGGAAAGAGCCCAGGGACTGGTTCTGGTATGACTGTCTAGGGCTGTAATGTGCAACTTTAAGCAAAAACCACCTTAACTCTGGACCTCAGGTTGTGGGGAAAGGGATCGTGTTGCACTGTGGAGGTGTAAACACTTAAGCACCTGTTTTCTGCTAGGTTCTTAGTGCCAGAGGACAGAATAAGTCTATGAGTCCCCCCCTCAACTTGAAGTGCAGGCTCCCATGGCACTGAGTGGAGGTATGCAGGAGTTGAGCAGACGTGCCTCTGCCTGTCTCTAGTGAAACCCTGACTGCAGCTGGCCTCAACTTGCGTTCACAAGTAACAGCAGTGGCTAATGTTTACTGTGCACATACCACGTGCCTGGTGCTGTTCTATGCACTTATTTAATTCATAGTTATACCTTGAGACAGCTCTCAATAAAGCTTACCACCCCCACTTTACAATTTGAGGCACTGAGAGGGATGGTGATTTGCCAGGGGTCACAGTGTAAGTCACTAGGAGAGCAGGTTGAAAGTCAGATCTGACTGCAATCCTGGCTTCTGTTTGCCACCCCAAGGTAGCTCTTTTTAGAGTATACATTACTCAATAAATGTTTGATGAAGATGTTTGATCACTGCAATGTAATGGAAAGATCCCTATTCCAGTTCAGTTCTACCCTAACTCCTTGTGTGTCCTTAAGAGAGTCCTTTCCTCTTTTAGGCTGTTTCCCCTGCTGAAAACAGAGATGATAAGGCCCAGAAAAGTAGTTACCTGGAAGTGTGGAGGATCTTAGCTTTCTACTTCTACACTCGCCTTTTATAATTTGCTTGAGGAGACTCCATCTGCACCCAGACCTTAGGGGCTCCCAGCCCTTTCCCTCTGCTTCTCCAGAACCTAAGAGCACCCCATAGAGAAATAGCTGGGTACACCCCAGCTCCACTACCACAGGGGACAAAGAAATTTCACTTCCCTGGTGGGCAGCTCCCTGGTCCTGGAGGTGGTATGGTGTGCTCATGGTGTCACCTGGCTAGGGGAGTGGCTCCTACAGTCTCAGCTCAGTGTGTATCATTTCCTCTCCTCATCACTCAGCTAGCCCAGATATCACCTCCAGCTGCCACTGGGTCCAGCCAGAGTCACCTGAGTGCCCAATTCCTCCCAGGCTAGAAACAGCCCAACATCCTCCCACTTCCATTCAGGGTCTGTCCCCTTAGTACTGCCCTTCACCTGTCACACCTCGGCTCCTTCCCTTACCTGGGCCTCTGTCCTGAGAAGCAGTGTCTGTATACTTCCAGCAACACTATGTTCTTTCTCCAGCATTCTCCAGATGACAAGCAGAGCAGGGCCCTCCCCGATTAGACCCAGGTAGGGTAGGAGAAGGCTTGAGAACAGGGACTTCCCCAGGCCCTCAGAGAAATCAGTCTCTAACTGTATTCAACTGTATTCAACAAAGACACTGATACTTGGGGTGCGGGGAAGGGCTCTTGGCCCAAAGGCAGAGCTGGACTTTAGCCCTCGTTAACAGACTGTTGAGACCTGAGGCAAGCTCCTGCCCCTCTGGGGCCTTCAGTTTTGCAATTTGTAAAATGGGGAAATGGGCTACTCAATCTGCAATCACCTGACTATAATAATTTTGCCTTCATAGACTGGGAATTTAGTTTCAATTCTGGATACCATTCGATCCTCCCCAAAACCTATTTGCATTTACAAATGGGTAGGCTTAGGTTCCTAAGGGAACAGAATACCCAAGGTCTCACAGCAAGTCGGAGGCAGAGCCTGGGCAAGAGTCCTGAACTCTACTCCTGCGCTGGTCCTTCATACTCTGTGATGCTAAGACTCAGGCTGTATGCCTTTGTCTGACCCGTCGCCCCATTTGTAATAGGACTGCTTAATTTGAGGATCAAATTACGAGAGTCAAAGAAGAGGGCTGTGCTTTGCAAACCCTAAGAGAAAGGACAACAGAATGACGACTGTTCCGTTCCATTACTACTCAACACTGTTATCTTCTCTGAAAGCGTCCCCAAAAGTTGATCCCGAGACTCTCCGTGTGCGCAGGCGCTCTTTGGAGTTCACAGAAGCGCGAGCTTCCCTCCAGGGGCTGCCCAAAGGCCCTCCGGCTGCTCGCGGTCGGACGCTACCCCCAAGTCCCCTAGTGAGTGTGGCCACGCTGTCCCCACATTCCCTGGGCCTTCCGTCGGCCCCGCAGCAGTTGAGGGGTCTCCGGAGGGGCGGAGAACTCAGGAGTGGCAGAAGGAGGCACAGCGCGGTCGCCATCCTCCCCGGTACCCCAGCGCCTCAGGCACGCTCCCTAAACGTCCGGGGACGATTCCGGGGCCCCTCAACGGAGACACCCCGCGCACTGCCTTATGGGACTTTTAGGTCGCGGCTTGAATATTGCAGGAGTTCTCACGCCGTCAACACTACACGTCCCAGAAGCCCAAGAGCCTGAGCCGCAGCACAAGGACCCGGGGAGTGTTGGGGGATGGAGCTTGTGGGTCTGTGCTGGCAGGTAAACGCGGGGAAGCTGAGGAGCCGAGGGATCTGAGCCTGGATTTGTGGCTTGAGGCACGCAGGAGTTACACGGTAGCTGTCATAAGAGAAGGGCGTTGTTATGGTTTAGTTTTATAAAGACTACTCACTACCTTTCTGCACCTCCTACATGGCTTCCACTCCTATTACTCCTTGGAGACTGTGCTCACGGGGGTCACCGTCGCCTGGGACTCTCAGTTCTCTTTACCGTGCGGTTCAATAGAACTTTCTGTTATGATGGAAATGTTCTGCATTTGCACTGTCCCAACACTTGACATGTGGCTAAGTGCCCTGGAGGAATAAAACTTTTTATTTTATTGAATTTATTTTAAAATCACTTAATAAATTTAAATAATCAGGTGCAGCTAATGGTTACCCTATTGCACAGCAGCACAGTAAACTAGACCTCTTAGGGTTCAACAACAATCACCTCCTGCTTCCTGAAACTGACTGACTCCTACCTACTCACTACTCTTAGTCTTTGCAGATTTCTCCTCCATTGTTTGACCCTAGAAAACCTAAAAATTAGTTGGGTCTGTAAAAATCTGCCCTACTGTTCATCAGGCTGGAATAACAGACACAGATAAAGCTAGCTGCAAAATTAACAGGACATACTGTTTTTCCCAAGGACATACTGCAGCTATAAAATATCTTAACAACCCACTCCTTTCGTAGACACTGAGCAACTTTGTTTTCTAAAATTATAGACTATCAGAAACTTTGTTGTTTGAAATTATGTAAGATGAAACTCTTGCCTGGAGGAACTAATTCACTAAGCAGACAGGATTTACAACCCGGGTGCAGAGATTTAGATAGGGATTTCTGAACATAATATTCCACATCTGTCTTAACTTTATTGTTTCCAAGAAAACATGACCCTGGGTCCACTTAGCGCTCCAGACCTGGTATCAGCCCCTTTACACATAGTTCTGCCTTGCTCTCAGATGTCAGAATATTGCTTCATTTAAATTTCACCTAATTCCATGTCTTGCTCAAATCTGGTAATAACTCTCTTTTTTCCTTTGCATTTTGTGGGACATCCTATGGTTCTTCTGGCATGTTTTCCTCATAGCAATGGGTCAATAAACCTGACTTTGTTGGACTATGGATTTGTCCCTGGTGGTCTTTGGGTGACTGGGCTAAGACAACGTGAAATGCTGGTGTCCTCCGGGTTCTGTCAGAGGCCCTCTCTTAACTGTGCATACTCTCTTTGGATGACCTCATTCACTTCCATCATATGCTGGTAACTCCTGAACCTCCAGCTCAGGCCATTCTCCTGCCTCTGGGACATCTGATTCTGGTTGATTCCAAGTGTGTCAAAAACTGAACTTTTTTCTGGCAACCACTCTTCACTCCTCTGTTCTAAGTAAGAACTAGACAGTGACCACCTCTGATCATGAAATGGGTGGGGACACTCCTCAGTGGGGGCAGGTACCTCTTCACCCACTGTCCTTAAACTGCATCACACTAAATTAGCTACTTTTCACATAGGTCAGCATCCTAAAACCTTAAAAAGTTGGGAGAAATGGAGGGGGGGGTGAGGCGCGGGGTTGTGGTTTGTAGGTAGAAACAGGACCTGTCTTACTCTGCCCTTTGTTTCTGGCCCTTCAATGAAAGTGGGACCTGAAGGAGGAAGATGCAGAGGAGATTCCACCTGTCTCTTCTTTCTCCTCCTCTCTCATGGTGTGCTCTTGCAATGTGAGTGAAGCCCCATCCAGTCCCCAGTCCCTTCTAGTGTTTTGGGAGTTTCACAGACATCTGCCATCACTGAGCTCTGTGGAGAGGCACTGCTGCTGGGAAGGAGGGTGAATACCGTGCAGGAAGCTTCCTTCCAGGCTGTGCCCGGTTCTCTCTCAAACATGTCTGAAAATAAATACATTTCAACATCTTAAAGATTGAACTTTCTTGTGAAGGACCCTCTTGCCACTTCATCCCATTCCACCTCTGCCACATCTCATCTACTGAAGAAGTTTGTATTTCTCTTATTCACAAAACTTTGACCTGACTTCTTAGAAAATAAAGAGGGGTCATCTTCCCCTTTCCTGCCCATTTCAATGCATCATTCACATAGTCCATGCTGAATGGTGCCCAGATCCCAAGTTTCTCCCCTTGGTGGTTATAGTTTCGGTTTACCCCATCCCCAAACTGTTTTCCCTTTAAAGAAACAGTCAATAGTGCAAGCATGTGCTGTGTAGGGAAGGCTGGGATCCCAGGATCCCATTAGCACAGATGAACTCACTTCCCTCAAACCCTGAGTGCTCTGACCATTTCACGTCTTTAAACCATTTAATTTTTAGTACTATATTATTTAATTTATAATCTTTGGTGAGCCATTGGTTATAAACATAAATTTGCCTCAAGATGATTATTACCAGATTCTTGTATTTATCCGATCAAAATTCATACACAGCATATCCAGATGTCTCTAGGACGCAAAGCCACAGCCAAAGGAAAGAAAAAAGTAGATGTGATGATCATATCCCATTTGGCTTATCATGTACCAAGAATAAAGCCAACAACTCCCACAGATGTATTTGTGAAAACTGTTTGCAAACAGCAGTATGAACCACTTCTCATTTAGAAACAAAATATAAACATTAGAAATAAAAAATAAACCTGTTGGCTTTTAAGAAATATTATTAAGTATTTCAGACATATATTTCCAATATTGGGACACCCAGATCTACTAGCTCCTTCTTTGGATTACATTGAGTTCCGTCTGTGGAAGTACCATGATAGATGCCACCATTCATCCTGTCATACACTGGGGTGTAACTGCTGGGCCCAAGGATAAATGTGTGCGTGTGTGTGTGTGTGTGTGTGTGTGTATTGTGGCCAAAGTGCCCTCCCAGTAAGTTAGACTTATTTACACTCCCACCAGCAGGAATGATAGCTGCATATCCCCACACCCTCACCAACTCTGAATATTATTCAATTTCTTAATTTTTGCCAATCTGAAGAGTGAAAAATGACCTCTCATTCATATTTTAACTTACATTTCACTCATTGTGCATAGTTTTATTTTTTGTAGACGATTTCTTTTTCTTCTGATAAAAGTCACTGCCCAGTTTTATACTGGGTGTTCTGTTCTTTAGTTCACTTGTGCACGTTCTGTACATCTGGATTTGACTAATTTGTTATATATATTGCAAGCATTTTCTCCTCATCTACTGCCTCCTTTTCTACTTTGTGTATAGTGTCATTTTTTTGAGTTTTATTGTGGTAAGATATATATAATATAAAAATGTCCATTTTAACAATTTTAGGTGTATAATTAAGTGGCATTAATTACATTCACAATGTTGTACAACTATCACCACTACTTCCAAAACTGTTTCATCATCCCAAACAGAAATTCTGTAAACATTAAGCAGTAATTCCTCCTTCCCCTCTTCCCTTATCCCCTGGTAAACTTGAATCTATACTTTCTGTCTTCATGAATTTGCCTATTATATTTCCTATAAGTGAAATCATACAATATTTGTCCTTTTGTGTCTGACTTACTTCATGTAACATAAGTTTTAAAGGTTCATATATGTTGTAGCATGTATCAGAACTTCATTCCTTTTTATGGCTGATTAGTATTCTGTTTGTAAACCACATTTTGTTGATGGACACTTAAATTGTTTCCACCTTTTGGCTACTGTGAATAATGTTACTATGACCATGAGTATATGAATATCTGTTTAAGTCCCTGCTTTCAATTTTTGTGACTATGCACCTAGGAGTGGAATTGCTAGGTCATATGGTATTTCTGTGTTTAACCTTTTGAGAAACCATCAAATTGTTTTCTAAGTGGCTGCACCATTTTCCATTCTCACCAGCAAAGCATGAAGTTTCCATTTATTTCCACATCCTCGTCAATGCTTGTTCTTTTCCATTAAAAAAAATTATTACAGCCATCCTAGTAGGTGTACAGTGGTATCTCATTGTGGGTTTGATTTGCATCTCATTGATGAGTAAGGATATTGAGCACCTTTCCATGTGCTGATTGGCCTTTAGTGTATCTAATTTGGAGAAATGTCTATTCAAGTTCTTTGCTCATTTTTTGAATTGGATTGCTTTTGTTCCTTTTGAGTTTTAGGAGTTATTTATATATTCTGGATACTAGACCCCTATCAGATACATATTTGCAAATATTTTCTCCTATTCTGTAGGTTGTCTTCTCACTTTTTTGATCGTCTCCTTTGACACACAAAAGTTTTTAATTTTGATGAAGTTCAATCTGTTTTCCTTTGTTCCAGTGCTTTTGGTATCATATCCATGAAATCATAGTCATGAAGATTTTCCCCAAAGCTTCTTTAAAGAATTTTATAGTTTTAGCACTTAAGGTCTTTGAACCACTATGAGTTAATTTTTTGTATGTGGTATGAGGTAAGGGTCCAAATTATCCTTTTGCATATGAAACTGCAGTTGTCCCAGCACCATTTGTTGAAGAAGTAATTATTTCCCATGAATGGACTTGGCATCCTTGTCAAAAATCAATTGGCCATAAATGTATGGGTTTATTTCTGAATCTCAGTTCTATTCTCATGGCCTATAGGTCTAGCTTTATGTCTGCACACTGTTTCTACTCTTGTAGCTTTGTAATACACCTTGCAGTGTGATGTTCCCCCAACTTTGTTCCACTTTCTCAAGATTGTTTTGACTATTTAGGGCCCCTTACAATTCCATAAGAATTTGAGGGCTGGCATTTCTATTTCTGCGAGAAAGGCTCTTGGAATTTTGATAGGGTGTGGTGTCTTTTCTTTTTGGAAATTTTACATTTTGATGTGGTTAAATTATCTGCCTTTACGCTTATGATTTCTGGGGTTTGTGTGTTGTTTAGGAAAGTCTTTCCTATTCCAGGTTATAGACAATATCCCAATAGTTTCTGATATCATTATTATTTTTATGGTTATAAGTCATAATGTAATATCATACCTTTGTAACTTACTTTTGCACATAGTGTGATGTAAGGAATCTAACTATATATTTTTTCTAGCTGTCCTTACATAATAGTCTTTCCTCATTCTTTAAATTATTTTTCTTGGGGATTATTTTTTGAGGTGAATTTTAGAAACAATTTGTCAAGTTCCACGAAGAAGATATACTATTGAGATTTCAATTGGAATATAATGAATTCACAATTTGTATAAATTTTTATTTTTAATCTTTCCAACCCCAAACATGTTATATATTTTCTTCCATTCAGTTCTTTTATGTCCTTTAGTTAATTTAATTGATTGTATTAAGATATTAAATTATATTAAATATATAATTGATACAAACATTCAAATTAATTTGTTTTTCATTCGCAGCTTATACATTTTTTCTAATGTATATTCCTAAGTATATTAGTTTTTGTGGTTGTTGTGAATGACTTCATTTTTACTACATTTTCTAATTGGATATTATTGTGCTGATAACTATTTAATATATGTACTCTGAATATTACTTATAGAAAATCTTTCCTACAGATTCACTAACATAGTTAAGCAGAGATCTATATACAAGGCTATACAGTGTAACTAACACAGAGCAAATAACTGGAAGCAGCCTAAATGTTTATCAATATGGGACTGATTAAATAAATCACAGTACATCCATACAATGAAATGGTTTGCAGCTTTAAAAGGAATGAAGTAGATCTATATATTCTGATATGGAAAGTTTCTAAGATGTATTGGAAATATATTGTTATATAAAGAAGCAATATATGGAACAGTGTTTAAATGCTACATTCATGTTTTTATGTTTGTATATGCACATATATTTCTGAAAGGATACACACTAAGTTGTTAATGGTGATACTTTTAGAGAAGGAGATGGAAGTTGGTGTGTGTCAGCAACAATGATGGGTTCAACACTCATTTTTCTCTTCCAGGGAACATGGGAAGACTACATTTCCCAACCTTCCTAGTAGATATGATCTCATTAATGAGATGTGTCACATTGTTCCAAGGCCCTTAAGTGTCAGTGTGAATGTTTTTCCCACTCCTGTTCCCTTAATCTCTCTCTCATCTGATCCCAGTTGGGATTAAAGAATTTGAGATGATGATACTAGGTGGCAGCAGCTTGGGTGTGAATCACTGCTGGAGGAGAACAGTTCATTAACTTGGCCTACCCCACACTGGGATGTGAGAGAAATAAACCTTTGTGTGTTAAGCCACTGTGATTTGAAGGTTTATTTGGTACCACATATAGTGGATTAAAGATGGCTAGAAATTCTGACACTCCTTTCATTGAAAGCTGGGATCTGTGTCCCCTGTCCTGGAATCTGGGCTGGACTGTGACTGCTTTGGCCAACAGAATGCAGAGGAAGTGAGGCTGTGCTAGTTACTGGCCTCAAGCCTTAAGAGACAGGCAGCTTTCTTACTGTTTGTTGGACTGCTTGTTTTGAGATGCTTCTTCTCAGAATTTAGCCATTATGCTCTAAGAAACCTAAGCCACATGCTCTGTGGCATCTTCTTATACTGATGGACAGTGACTACATTGGGGTCTGTGTGGGACTTGATAATATGGGTAAATATAGTAACCACAATGTTGCTCATGTGAAACCTTCATAAAAGTGTATGTCAATGATACCTTAATAAAAAAAAAATAAGTAAAAAAAACTCCCAGCTATGTATGTTTTATAATATCATATAAACCTATTTAGGATTTTTAAAACACAATTGATGTAGAAAACAGCATAAAATTAGCAAGAATTTACAATGACTTTTAAAAATAGTTAAAACTGTGTTGATGTTCAACTGAATAATGCCATATTTCATAAAAATATTAATTTTTTGGAATTTATTTGTACTAGAGTAGTAAACATTTTATCTACTGTCATAGAATTTGAAGCACTCTAATCAGTTACTTTATAATTAATAAAAATAATCAAAGTAGACTAAAATGCAGTTAACATAAAAACTGATAATGTTACCTTTTTAAAAAAAGTTTCCTAAATAAATAATAAATCTGGTTGATGACCAAAAAAAAGAAACCTAAGCCACATGGAGGGGCCACACATAGGTGCTTTGGTTTTTGGCTCTAATTGGCCTTCCAGCCAACAGCCAGCATGTCCTGACAGCCAAATGGGTGAGCCATCAGTAGCAGGCAGCCCAGCTGTGTCTTCAGATGGCGCCAGCCCTGGTGGTGGTGGCTAGAACAACGTGAGAGAGACTGCACGTGAGACTTGCCCAGCTGAGCTTACCAACACTCGGGACCAGAAGAGCTATTAAGGAAGAGTATTAAGTAATAGACCACAGAAACAGCCTGTCCTATCCTGACCAATATGCAGGTGTGAGAAAAGAGGCTAATTTCTGTATTGTTTGAATTTTTGGCTCTGTGCACATGATTATTTTTCAGTTAAAAAGAGCTATAATGTTAAATTAAAAACTTCTAAGCATTGGGCCATGAAAGCCATTTTCGTATATTTTTGGTATCACAGCAACAGCAATGGACACTTACTGATCACCTCCTCAATGGGTGCCAGGCCCTGTTCCAGGTGCTGAAGACAGAGCCTGATCAAGGCTCACTTGGTCCTGGTTCTCCTGAAGCTTCCAGCCTGGTAGGAGACACAGATCATAAATAACGAAACAAACACAAAAACCTAATTTTTCTGGGAGTGATAAATGTTCTGAAAGGAAGGACAATTAGGTGATGTTGCAGACATTGACTGGGATGGAAGTTATTTTAGATTGGGTTAAGAGGGAAGATCTTCTGAAATAGCCTAAGAATTCTGGAGGAAGAACAGCAGGAACAGAGAGCAACCAGGTCAAACGGCCAAGGGAGTATTGTGTCTGGCAGAGATTTTAGTGTTGTGAATAAGGCTTTATTCACAAAGTGAAAAGAGGTAAGTTCAGAGATGTAGGCAGGAGCCAGAGCAAGCGGGCCCTGAAGGCCACAGTAGGTGGGTTGGGATTTGCTTTGAATATGCTGGAAAGCCTCTGGAAGGTTTTAAGTAAGAGCAACATGAGCTGGCTGAAGTTTTTAAACAATCACTCTGGCTGCTGGGAGATGCCTAGCTCAAGTTCAAGTTTCAAACAATAGTTTGTTAGATCTCTAAATCATGACATAATCACTTCTTACATTTATTGGTCATCGAATCATATTTTCCTTACAAAATTAAGATGCATTAAAAGGTATGTTAAATGTGAAAAATAAAAATTTGTTTTCATATATTATGAATGATATGTAAACTTTTAAATGAGCTTTATAATATAATCTCTCATATTCTACAGATAGAATATAAATATTTTTAGTTAAAATCAGTCACTTTATCATATACTGTTTAAAAGTGGCAAAATTATTTAATATTTACTAGGAGTGTTTTATAAAAAAAGTCAGGAATCTCTGACCCCAATATGCCTCCTTATCTGAGAGAAATAGCACCTCTGCACCTCATGGTCAGGCAGGGACCTGTTAGTATACTGTACACACAGCCCCAGCAGTTTTGCAGGTGTGTCCTCAGGCACCTGAGAATCAACTAGCTGTAAACAGAATTAATCACTGTCACCAGCTGGCCCTGGGCCTCCGTGGTTACCATGCCCTTCTCTGGGAAACACCTTCTGGTAAATGTTACCACTCACTGTTCACTCCTTCAACAGACCGGCTAGGCTTGGGCTGAGGTTGAGGTCAGAGAAGCCTTAGCTCAGTTGCAGGGGCAGGAAAGTTTTCCTGGAAGAGGTGACCCCTGAGTAGGAGCCGGGCTGGCTAAAGGGGAAGGTGTTCCAAAGGAACATATGCAAAGGAAATGAGGGTCAAAGACAATGACATGTAGGGGACTAGAGGCTTGCAATGTCAGGCAAGCAGGTCATTGTCATTTCAAAGCAGAGCAGGATACACTCTTCTCCCGTGCCACTGTCATTCACTGCTTTCCAAGTCCTGTGACCCATTGCCATCCGAATCTCAACAAACCTGTCGCCTCCAGGGCTTGTGTGGCTCCCTAGCACCACCCAAGTTCTTTTGGCATTCACTCACTAACAGCAGGCCCTGAAAGGGCCATACACAGTGTACCCCAGAGTGATGCTGGGTCCAGCCAATCCCTCCATTCATTCTTCAAGTCACCGTGTGTCTGCAGAGCTCTGAACAGGGATCTTACTGGAGACAATTCCCTGCAACTCCTGCTTCACTGTCAAGTGTACTTGTAAGAGATACTGCTGCTCCTTCAGTGGCCTCCCAAACACAGTGACCTGCTGAACCCACTTCTGGGCAACATCACGCAAATCACTTCACCCTTCTGGCCCAGGGGTTTGCTGGATGAAATCAGGCTGCTCCCATTTACTCTCAGGAACCTAAATTTTCTGTGATGATCTGGGCCCCTAAGACCTAGCTTCCCACAAGGATGGTTCTGCCTCCTTTCGAAATTTTTACGTCGAACCTCAGCACTTGGTCTTCCTGCTGCCTGGAATCCTCTTTTCTCCTATGTCATCCCCCACTACCCAACTCAAATGCCACCTCCGAGAGCAGGGCCTCTTCCTTCAGTCCTTCCTCCTTGGTGCTTTCTCATCTCGCGGTCACTGTGTGCGCCTGGTGTCTGCGTCGCCTCCCCTCCTGGAGCTGAGCGTCTCGGGGGCAGGGTCCGGGCGCGAGGCGTCTCCGGGTCCCTCGCTCGAGCGCGACCTGGTCCAGAGGTCGCGCGGGCGAGCGTCCCTCACTTAAATCGTGCCCGGGCGCTGAGGGGTTAAGGAGCACTGGCTCTGGAGGCCCCGCGGCGGCGGAGCGCGCCCATAGGCGCGGGGGAAGCTGCGCTGGAGGCCCCGACGCAAACGCCCGCCTATGACCGCAGGCAGCAATGGGGGCCCCCACTTGGGTGAGAATTTTTGGCGGTGTCCGGGGGGTGCAGACCTGGGGGCGGCTTCCAGCACGTTTGCTTTCGCTTCTCTTTCTACCAGCGCTCTTAGTACGGCCCGGGGATTGCCCGCCGCGGCCCGCCCCTTACGACACGGAGTCCCCTCGAGGCCCCGCCCCCGCCAGGCCGCGCCTTCGGGGCGCAAGGTCCTGGGCGCGGGGTGAGGGCGGCCATGGCGGGGCCCGGCGCCCCCGACGCCTCGGTCGCTCACTGGAAAAGCCACATCGTGCGGCAGCTTCGACAGCGAGACCGCACGCAAAAGGCACTCTTCTTGGAGCTGGTGCCGGCCTGTGAGTGCGCCCCGGGGGGCCTGGAAGATGGCCGTGGAGGGGCTGGAGCTCCGCGCGCAGCGAGGGTTCGCCTGGCTCCTCGTGTGTGACCTGAGCGCCCCAAAGGTTTCTCGCCTCCGCAGCCTTGGATCTGCGGGACGCTGTCTGTTAAGCTCCACCTCCGATTAGCCACTATTCCTGTCCTTCCCAATCCAGGCTCTGCCTAGAGCCCCTTTCTGGACGGAGCTCCCTCCTGTTGGTCCTGCACCCCTCGTCCCTCGGGGCGGCTCTGCCTCCCACGGGCCGGGCTTCCTAGGCACGAGGTCGTCAGCGACTGTCTTACACAGGTAGAGCAGGTACAGTCCCCAGGTAGAGCCTGGTCAGTCCATTCGGTCCCCGTAGCCCAGTGAAGCGGGTGTGGCAGTTCAAGCCAGGATGAAGAGGTCTGCACCTGTGAGCAGCACCTCTGGTCATCTGAAATCGTATGTTTGGAGTTGAAAATCTAACCACAATCCCTCCAGCTCCATCACCATTCTAGTCTTGGCTGCTACTTGGCCATCTCCACCCCCTTCACACCCCCCACCAAAACTCTTCCATAGCGGTGAGATGCCCTGGGGGCTGAAGTGGGCTTTTGTGTGAGAACTAGGCCAGCTATCTCAGTGGCAGTGATAGGGAGGGGGCACTGGGTGAGGGAAAGGAACTGAGGAGCTAGGCCTGGGCTTACCACCTCTACCATACCCTGGAACTGGCAAGGAAAGAGGAAGTGACTTGAGGTGGATGTAGGAGGGGGTGTGCCAGGGTCTGCAGCAGAAACTACAGAACTCAGGGAGGTCTGCTGCATAATTGCACAAGGACTTTCTGTTCTGGCCTAGGGGAACCTTATACCAACCCTGGGAAAACAGGGTTGTTTTAGTCCAGAAGGTTAGAGCCCCTGGAGAGGAAGTAACTTGCTGAAGGCCACAGGCAGGTGGAGCTTGCTTTGTTTCATCACTGTCTGGAGCCAGGCCCTGCCCTGGGGCAAGGATGGGGCAACCTCTGGGTGCTTCCTTCCCTGAGGACCCTCAGTGGCACGTGCCCAGCCATCTCCTTCCCCAGAAGTGGCTGCCCTCCGGTCCTGAGAGGGCCTGGGGGCTAGTGCTGTGAGAAGGCTATGTTGGAGCCGAAGGTCCTGGGAGAACTACATAAACATTCCTTGGGCAGCGGGCAGAGCCCAGCCTGCCAGTAGCTCCCCTGTTCTGCATCCCTGGGCTTCTGCAGCCCTTCCAGCCAGAGAGGTAATTTGTAGGCCTGGAGTCTGCTGGCAAGTGTTTGTCTTTGCCCTAGGCTCACCCTCTTGCACCCCTAGATAATCGTCTCCTAGAGAAGGCTGAGCTCCTGGCCCGGGTCTCAGAGAAACTGCAGCCAATGCCAAATGATGTCACTCCTGCTACCCACCAGGGCCCCTGGTGAGTGTACATGTGTTTGTGGCCACAATGGGTTGCTTGTGCCTGGGCCCTGCCCCTACTGCCTATACTGGGTTCTCTCTGGCACCTCACTGGGCCCTGGCTGCTGCTTTTGAGGGTGCAGGGTTGGAGAGGGAGGCAGGTTCTTGAACTTTCTCCTAGGCCAGCCGCTTAGATGTCCCTTCTCCCACACTCTTCTCAGGCCATCTCTGCATTTGTCCCATCTCCTTCCCCTCCCACCCTCACATTACTGTCCTTTTCCATCTCCCTGTTCCTTACCTAATGCCTACAAAAAGGGTCTTGCTGCCTCTCCAAAGAGGAAGTGAATATGAAAACCAGGAATGGGTTGAAAATGGGTTGGGGCTCAGAGTTGGGAGGTGCTTCTTGAGGAGGGTCCTGGCCGGGAATCTAGAGCAGCCGAGTCATGTGCAGCCCTGCTTCTTGAGGAGGGTCCTGGCCGGGAATCTAGAGCAGCCGAGTCATGGGCAGCCCCTGTTTCTGGAGATGAGCTCTTTCCTCTTCTGGCTTTCTGGCTTCTACCTTCCTCAGGAGAAAGTTGGTTTCAGGCGCTGGTTTCAGGCTTTTCATGTGCATCACCTGGCTGAATGGAGGGATAATGAGCACCACTCTGATTGACTGGCAGGGCAGAGGAGCCGGGACCTGAATCAGACCAGGTCACACCACCAGCTACTCTGAGGGTAAAGTGGCAAAAGGAAGAGGAGGGACTCCGGCTGGTCTGTGGTGAGGTAGGCCGATCAGGGGGGTCTGAGAGAGAAGGGGTGGGGCCAGGACCCAGGACTTTGGGGGTAGGGATGTGGTCCAAGGGAGCCAGCAAGTGAGGGACATTGCCAGCATCCAAGGCCAGAGGGCTTTCTAGCTTGGCTTTGGCAGCCCAGGATGACCTGGGCTCCAAGAGCAGCTGGAGGAAGTGAAGTGGGAGCTCAGGGAGGAGTGTGAGATGTGCAGGGGCCAAGCAGCCTCTGCTTCCCCTGCTGGATGGTCCAGCCTGCTCTGCACACTGCGTGCCCCACCGATCCCATGGCCTTGCACCAGTGGGAGCTCAGTACACATTTGCAGACTAAATGAGTAAGGGGTCTATGGCAGAGTGTGCTGCTTCCGCCTGACACTGCTGCCCAGGGCCCTCATGGTGTCTCTTGGTTTCTGTTTCACCTCACTTTATGGTTGCAGAGAAGGAAACTGCTTAGAGAGGTGGAACCAGGATTTGAATTCCCTCCCACACATATCCACCTTCTGTGATCTCCATTCATTCTTTCAACAAATAGTTACTGATAGTTGCTATATCCGAGGCACAGGGAGTACAGCAGTAAACACGGCCTGCCCCATGAGCTTCTACGGCACTGGAGGAGACTGATGGCCATAAACACATACCCAGTTACAGCATGTCAAGTCATCTGCCCAACTAGTGTGGGGGTGGACCCAGTAACAGCCTCTCCCTCAGAGCCCCTGCTCTAGTTGCAACTTGACATTAGAGAAGTGATCCTCAAACAGCGAGCCCCTTCTGGGCTGAGAGCCCCAAGGCCTGGGGTGCCTTTGTTTTGTTTCTGCTGTATCCCTCAGGTGTGTCTCCACAGTCCGTGCTATTGAATATTCATAGACTAAGTGATGAATGAGTTAGACCATCTCCCCCACCATGTGGGTAGTCAGTCACCAGGCTGGAAACCCAGGGGCATCTCTGACCCCTCCCAACCCTCCATCCTGAGTTAGTCACCAGCTTGGGGCCTGCTCCCAAATCTATCAACTTCCTTCTGTTTCCTGTACTGCATCTGGCCTGGTTCAGGCTACCTGTATCCCTCCCAGGGCAACTCTGCTTTTGGCACTTCCATCCATCTCTCTAGAGCACTCAGAGTGATGTATTTTAACAACAAAAAGATCTCCCCTAAAAATTCAAGTAATACACTAATACATGCTTGTTGTGAACATTTCAAGAGAACAGAAGCCCAGAGAGTAAACAAGTGAAAGCCCCTGTTGCCACCTCTCCCCGTTATCACTTTGGTATGTATCTTCCAAAGCCCTCGAGCCTGACTCCCCAGTGGAGTTCTCCAGCCTCCTGCTGCATTTCTTCCCACTCTCTTGTCTCTGAACTCATGCTTTCCCTTGCCTGGGATACTTCTGCATACCCTTTGCTCTTAGCAACTCCCTCCCCGTCACTTCCTCAGACACATGCACTCAGTTCCCATTGGATATGCCAGGGGATGGGGAGTGGCTTTCTCTTTACTTCTTAGTACTGTTTCATATGTCATAACAAGCATGGATTATTATTGTAACTTTTTGTTTTGAAATAATTATAGATTCATACTCAGTTGCAAAGATAGTACAGAAGTTTCGTGTTCCCTTCACCTGGTTTCCCCCATTGGGGTCATCTTACATAACTATAGTACACAGTCAGGAAACTGATAAATTGCTATGAAGTGTGCATATAGTTCTTTGTCATTGTGTCACATGTGTACACTTGTGTGACCATCAAGAAAGCACTACTTCATCACCGCAAAGATCTCTCTCTTGCTATCCCTTTTGGATCACGACTCACCCCTCCCCCAACTATCCCTAAACCGTGACAACCACTAATCTATCTTTCATCTCTATGATTTGAATTTTGAAAAGTATCAAATAAAAAACTATTGGATAATAAAACATCAATGAAATTAAAGAACAGGTGAGGAAGCAGAAGTGGTGGTCAGATTGCACAGTGGTGCAGGAATGATAAATATAATGACCTGGACCTGCTATGAAAGTAGGCTCCCTGCTCTGCACGTGCAGCGTTCCTCTGCAGGGCCTCTCATGTAGGGAGGTGGACAGCGCAGGGGACAGCCTGGACCTTGCTGCTCAGTCTGCCCCTTGCCAAGCCATATAGGGCGGAACGCAGGAATAGTTGGGCCACAAGAGCCCCCAGCCTTGGTCATTTCCTCTTGTTCCTTTCACCAACTTCGTGGGAACTGCTTTTCTTGGGGTGGTCTCTCCTGCTCTCTCCTCAGCTCTAAAAGGAGGGAGTT